GCTCATCATTAGCACGGTCTGCTGAATAGCCCTGCACCATCGCCAACACCTCCATCTTCTTGGCGTTCTAGGCATACTCCAACCCTCTAACACACGCGCTTTGCGCGGCTTTCCTCCAGCCCCCGGTCTCCCTCTTTAAACTTTCAAGCTGGGCTTTCACCACCTCCAGCTTTGCCTCTAGTGGCTTAATTTCGCCTTTTGTGCGTGCCGCTTTGTTCAGTAAAGCTCCTGTTAAGGCTGTCGCCTCTATCTGGGCCGAGCACAGCCCCCTTAGTAGTTCGACCTCTGTGAAACTTGACATCGAACACACGGCCGCATCCTCCACTACTCCCAAGAACCGATCTGCAGCAATCCTTGCTTCACCTCCTTCTCCCTCCAGTCGCCCGGACAGTGCTGGAGCGTGGTAAATGGTGGTCTTCAACCTAGCCCTCCTACCTTCTCCTTGGGGCACAGAACCCCCCTTGGACTGTTGCTCTGTCCCCTGCTCAATGCCAGTCGCCCCACCTTCCACTTGTGTTTCGGGGCCTAGGGCACCCTCTATCCCCTTCACTGTTCTCTCCAACTCCATTTCGGGAGTCCTCTCTGCCATCCCCTCCTTCATCCTCTTCAAGGCTGGCCCCTTCTCCTTTTTCTATACTCTCTTCTTCTTCTTCAACACAGCCGCCACCTCCTTTCTGCTCTTTTCCTTTAGAGGATCCACTGGAGGTGGTCGTGGCTCAAAATCGCTCAGGTCCTTCTCCCCCAGCGGCTTGGGGCGCGGACGGACTAGTTCCCTTATGATCGGTTTGGGCGGTCAGCCTAACTTGGCCTCTTTGTACTGATCGGCCTTGGCAAAGGTGGTTCTGTCCTCCGCCTCTTGCCTCTTCCTCCTCACCTTTAGTTCTGCCGGCGCAAGATCTTCACCGGTCGGCTGAGGGCCCAGCCTTGAGGCAAACAAGGCTGAGGGCTGAACGAGGTCGTCCCACTTGGCGCCTTCCTTTTCCTTCCATGCCTTTACCTTTTTCACCCTCTCCTCTGCCTCCACCTCCAACCTTGGCTCAACCGACTTCGTTGGCACCTTCCACCCCGTGTGCACTCCGACTCCCTCGTTGGCGGACACATAGAACCACTGCGGCCTCCACCCCTTCACTGACGACGGCAACCCCGCCACCAGACCCTTTCCTGCCGCCGCTTGTAAAGTGACCTAAGTCTCTTGCTGGCCCGAAGCCTTGTAAAATGCAAAAAACTCATCCACCGTCATTGCAGCCCCTCGTTCACCTGCGGCCACGCGCTTGCATAGGCCAATAAAATCTTTCACGCATTGGGCATCAGTTGGCTCGGAGCCACCTCCAGCCGATTCAACACGTCCATTACTATTCGGGGAAGCGGCAACCTCAACCCCCTCTTTAGTGCCTCTTCGTAGAGGGCAAACTCCCCCGGTTGAGCATCGGATGGCCTCTCCTTCGACGTCGGCAATTTCAACTCTATCTCCGTGGGAATTGGATACCTCTCGCGCATTTCCTCCAACTCCTCCGCCGTACATGTCGATTTATCGGCCTTCGTGTGCCAGTGGTCTGGCTCCACTTGACTAATAGGTTTCACGGCCGTAATCATCGTCCTAGGACGAGCCCGTACTGCTTGACTAACTACCTCCCCTCCCTTCGCTCCGCACGGTACTGTTCCGCTAACTCCATCGCATCGTCGTCGCCTAACGAATCAAGCCTTGTAGTTGCTACTTCCTCTTGGGCCATTTCTCTTGTGTGTCTACGAATGGCTTCGGACGTGGGCACAAGAAAGTTCACAAAATGTTGCAGAGGTATATCACTGGAAACAAACGAGTTTACTTCTGGAACGTTTTGGTTTTTTGAAAAAAGATAGGTAAAGCGGATAACACAAAAAGCCCAAGGCTTGCCTGTATTCCAAGGGTCACGATTAAATTTTTCCAGTTTGAAAATTTTCAAAAATCTGCCAAAATCGCCTTTTCAACACCCTATATCAACCTACCCCTTCGTTTCTTCCCCAACGCCTAACCTCCTCCATTACGGGATTGCGCCACGTGTATGACCACAATCCACTGCCTCCTTCCCCTACCATGTCTTTTTCACTTCAAATCATCACGTGCCCTGTCACTGCTCGAGCCCAGTGCACCGTCACTTCTCACTCCACTCAGTCACCCTTCGTGATCGGCCCTCCTCACGGTCGGTCCCTTCACTCAGTCGCCCTTTGCGGTTGGCCCTCCTCACGGTTGGTCCCTCCACTTGATCGCCCTTCGCGGTTGGCCCTCCTCACGGTCGGTCTCTTCACTCGGTCGCCCTTCGCGGTCGCCCTTCCTCATGGTCGGTCCTTCCACTTGGTCTCCCTTCGCGGTCGGCCCTCCTCATGGTCGATTCCTCCGCTCGGTCACCCCTCGTTGTCGGCCCACCTCTCGGTCGGTCTTCGCCTCGCCGGTATCTTACGACCCTCGTTTTCTTCATTATTCCCATCGTTGGACTAAAGCTGCACTTGGGAATGGGGGACTACTGACATGGGTAAGCCCATAAAGGATATGGCCCACCACCTAAGGTCCAATCCATGATTCAAATACTAAAGCCCAACACTCGTGAAACCCAGCGTTGCAACAAACACCAATAACATCTAAACACTTGGCAAGTAGAGAATCACCCACATCAGTAGACAAAGATCCTGCAAAGTTATTGCACCACACATCAGCCATTAATGAGCTTTCCTGTAGGATTTATTGCGATAACCCTTCCCCGTCGGGACAGAACGGCCTCACCATAAACAAGGTAAGTTAGAGCATAGACTTTCGGCCAAGGTGATAGGTCGGAAGGGACAACGAAATGATTAGCAGAGGATATAAGCAGGCATCGAAGACAAGGAAAGAGCTAAGCTTTTCTATCACTAATCTATCTCTACATTCCATCTCTCTTTCTAACTTGCTCGTCGGAGGGTTCGCTGGGGGACTCCCCGTTCCTCGTTGAACTCTTGTGCAGGTCTCTTTGTGGGCTTGGTACATCAGGCATCGGTTTGGGAAGCGTGGATTAATCCGATCCGTTCCATCTGGAACACGCTGTATCATCATATATATATATAATATCACGTGACAATATCGCTCTTTGTCAAATTCTAAGCCTCCACTTCATAGAGTTTTTTTTAAAAAAAAAATATTCTAAAAAAAAAACTATTTAGAGAATTGACCCACTTTTTAAATTATTTGGGAAACTAACCTACTTTTTGAAATTGCATTTTAAAAATGTGATTTTGAAATTAAAATTACATTTTCAACATGCAATTTCACCTTGAAATCGCAAGTTAAAAATACAATTTATGATGATGACATGGTGAAATTGCATGTTCAACATGCGATTTCAATTGAAATCGTATTTTCAACATGCGATTTCAAGGTGAAATTGCATGTTGAAAATGCAATTTCAATTTCAAAATCGCATTTTCAAAATACGATTTCAAAAACAGGTTAGTTTCCTAAATAGTTTGAAAAGGGGGTTAATTCTCTGAATAATTTTTTTTAGAATATTAAAAAAAAAAAACTTCCACTTCATAGAACTATCATTTTCCTTCATTCCTATTGCCCGTCCCTTCTACTCCTAAGCACCACATAGCCCATCCCCTATGAACCACCCAAACTTATTATTCTTCAAATTGTATATCTAAAACCCTATAGCTCTTTCTCTCATGCAAGAACAAAAGTGAACTACATGTCCTAAGATCACGAAGAGTAGGCAACTTCAACAGTGGAGTTGCAATAGAATTGAGAGGTGATCGTTGTAATTGGGGAAGGTTTCAACTTACATCGAGAGTTGGGGAAGGAGACTATAATAGCTTCCGATTATGGCAGTAGTGGTGGCTAAAATGGGAGTTGTAGATAACAGAGTATAGAATTTTAAAATTTTGTCCTTAGTAATAATTTACTCCCCATTTTTTTTTCTATCCACTATTCTATTTTAACTCGTCTTAAAATATTTGTCCACTTTTTATTTTGAAATACTAATTTTTTTTTATATTTTCAAAACTGCCCCTTATAAATTATTATAAATATACATTTTAGAATTGAAGTAAAAAGGCAATTGTGAGAAAAATATTTCAAAATTTGAATTAAAATGCAATAATTACGGGGAAAATTAATGAAACGTCACTCTTCAACTTTGTGTAGTAGGAGAAATCCAAGATTTTTTTTTATTATTAGCTAAGGTCCCTCAACATTTTCGCAGAGAAAATTTGACTAAGAGAAATTTTGCCTGATTCAGAGAAATTTCAATTTTTATAGAGAAATTTTGAAATTTCTTTGTAAAATTAGAGAAACTTCTTTGTGAAAATTAAAATTTTTCTAAGTTGGGACTAAATTTCTCTGAGTCGGGCAAAATGTTGAGGGACCTTAACTATTATGAAAATATTATATATCCTTATATCTTTTATCTTATGAAATCTTAATATTATGAACCTTAAAAAAAATTCCCATAATTACATCTCTCCTCAAGTAGGGGTGGGCATAGGGTTATCCGATCCGTCATACCCTACCTGAATCGCAGATCTTTGGGCGGTTTCGCAAACACGTTAGGGTCGGGTGCGTATAGAGAAATTTTGAAATTTCTTTGTAAAATTAGAGAAACTTCTTTGTGAAAATTAAAATTTTTCTAAGTTGGGACTAAATTTCTCTGAGTCGGGCAAAATGTTGAGGGACCTTAACTATTATGAAAATATTATATATCCTTATATCTTTTATCTTATGAAATCTTAATATTATGAACCTTAAAAAAAATTCCCGTAATTACATCTCTCCTCAAGTAGGGGTGGGCATAGGGTTATCCGATCCGTCATACCCTACCCGAACCGCAGATCTTTGGGCGGTTTCGCAAACACGTTAGGGTCGGGTGCGGTTTGGATTATGGCTGAATTTCGGGTTGTGGGCGGGTTGCGGGTTTGAACCGAACCCGCCCAACCCGTCCGCTTAACAGAATTTATATATATATATATGTAAAATCTGAACCGTTTGATCTTCATCTTTATTCTTTAGTATAACAAACATACAAAAGTAAAAAAAAAAAACCCTAACAACAATTCATTTGCTCAGCCGCAACTAGAGAGAGCTGAGGTCGCTCATTCTCTCATCTCATACCAGTCTCTCTCTCTCTCTCGTTTTTCATCGCCGAACGACCTCTGTCTACTCATCGCCGATCGATCGATCAACCTCTGGTTTGTCATCGTCGATCGACCTCTGTCTGCTCATCAACCGATCGACCTCTGGTCTGTCTGCTCATCTCTAACTTTGCTTTCTCATCGCCAATCGACCTCTGGTCTGTCTTCTCAGTGCTCATCCCTAACTTTGCTTTCTTATCGCTGATCGAGCTCTGGTTTGTCATTGCACCAATCGACCTCTGTTTTTTTTTTTTTTTTTCTGTTTTTTTTTTTTTGTGTGTTTTTTAATATATGCAATTAGATGTGAATAAATATGTTGAATTTGTTGATGTTCAATCTGTCTTTTTTTTTTTTAACAGATTCACAGGTATGTTTTTTTCACTCTATTTGTTTACAGATTCACAGGTATGCTTATTCACAACAGATCTGTTTATGCTTATTCACTCTATTTGTTTTAAATATTTTTTTAATATGCATATCAGAAATAGATTGGTTTTAGATCTGTTTAATCATTTGAATTTGTAATTAGATCTGTTTTTTATGTTGAATTTGTTTTAGATATGTTTTTTTTTTATATATTAACTTATATACATCTCTGAAACAGATCTATTTTTTATGTTGAGTTTGTAATTAGATCTTTAATTAGATCTATTTATGTTTAAAACAGATCTGTTTATGCTTATTCACTCTATTTGTTTTAAATATTTTTTTAATATACATCTCAGAAATAGATTGGTTTTGCATCTCAGAATTAGATCTTTAATTAGATCTGTCTATTTGTAATTACATCTGTAATTAGATCTGTTTATGTTGAATTTGTAATTAGTTCTGTCTATTCGTAATTAGATCTGTTTATGTTGAATTTCTAATTAGATCTGTAATTAGATCTGTCTATTTGTAATTAGATCTGTTTATGTTGAATTTATATTTGGAATTATTGAAATTGAATTTGTAATTTTTATAATCCAGTTTTTTATTTTTCAGTTTGTTTTTGTGCAGGGTTCATTAACCAAATGCATGGAATTGAAATTTTTAGAACTTTATTTTATTTTACAACAATTTTATTTTATTTTTCTCTTGCATTTTGGAAGAATGTAATAGTTAATGAAGTTTGAATGATTTTATTTTAATTTTGGATGAATGTATATGTAATAGTTAAGCTTAGGATTTTGAATGATCTTATTTTAATTTTGTATTATTGCGTAGTAGTAGTAGTAGATGAAGAATGGAAAAAAATTGTATTGTTGGGTAGTAGATTAATTTTGAAAGATTTTAGGATTTTGAATGATTTTAGGATTTTAAATGATTTGTTTGTATTAGGAATTGATTTTGAAGCATTTTAGAAAATTGATTTTGAATGATTTGGAAGTTTTAATGATTTAATTATTAATGTTGAAGCATTTTAGAAAATTGGAAGAAAATGACCTAAAGTAAATATTTGCAAAATGGGGGAAAAAAATTCAAAAACTAATTTTTAAAAGGAAAAATTCAAAAATACAAAATGGGAAAAAATTCAAACCGCAAACCGCCCGCACATCTGCAAACCCTATCCATACAAACTGCAAACCGCACTGCGGGCGGTTGCGGTTTGACTTTTTCCCAAACCGCAGAGGTGTGAGCGGGTCAAAACCGAACCGCAAACCGCACAAAACCGATCCGCAAACACCCCTATCCTTATGTTTTATTTTTTTATAATAGACATTGGAGGTATAATGATATTATTAAAAAAACACCGGCGCTTCTCTATCGGTATAATGATATTAAGTTTTATTTTTTATAATAGACATTGGAGGTATAATGATATTATTAAAAAAACACATACATATATATATACACACACTATGTATAGGTAAAATGTATTATATATATATATATATATATCAGTTAATATGTATGTATCCTCTTCTCAAACTCTAAACACCGGCACTTCTCTATCGCCACCAACTCAGGTGCAAACCTAGACAAGCTAGTGAATGTGGCCTCGAACTCGGCCACTAGTGTATTCAACTGCACCAACTTGGAGAACTGGTCTCTCAACTTCTCCCTAACCGCAGGAGGTAAAGACTTTTCTTGGAAGGCGTTGACAAAAGCCTCCCAAGTCCCTCCAATGGGCCCACACACATACTTCCGCCACTGACCCGCATCCCCCTTCAGCTAGAAAGATGCCAAGGTTACCCTCAACTGGTCGTTCTCGATGCCAAGCATCTTGAATGTCTTCACTATCTAGTCAAGCTACTCATCTGCCTTCAGTGGCTCCTTTGGGTCACCCAAAAACTCATCCGGATTAGGCCAAAAAAACTCTCTCTTCAGAAAAGAAGTCCCTACCTCAGCAACCTGGGCCTGGACTTGATTCTTAGCTCTGAGAATGTGCATGGATTCCCACAACACTCTAGCCATTTCGCGGGCTAAGGCTGTAGCGATCCTGGTTTCGACCATTCCTTCATGTTTTTCTATTTCGATTGGGCAGGTCGAGGATCGAGCTACCCGGTCAGCTCGTGGGGATCCAGGGGGCAGCGCCCTTTGGTGGGTCTGAGGGCAGCGCCCTAGCGGGGTCGAGGGTCAGCGCCCCCGACGCAAAAATGCAAAATGCATTCGAAGTTACTTGTCCGCTCGAGCGGAGAATGTTTGGTTCCAGAAGTTTGACCCGCCTGCAAAAGTACTGGGAAGGTGTATTCGACGCTCGAGCGGGGCTTTCCACGCTTGAGCAGACCATGCTATATCAGTTCGTGAATTTGATATTTCAGATCACTTTTGTATATCTCTCTCTCTCTCTAAAAAAATTTCCTCTCTTTTCTCTCTACATTTCCTTACGCCAAATTGGATCAAAACCTTGATTTCTCAAGATCCTTTGGGAGTTAGACCAAAATTCTTCATCAAAGTTGTGTAACTTCTCGAGGGCTTCGTTGTGTGCGATGGAGATCGAGTTTCGACACCGTAAATTTTGGGGTTTCATCTCATTTCTTCTTCAAAACTTGAGGTAGTGATTTTCTTAGAGTTATATATATATATTTTCAAGATCTATATGATTTTCGAAATCATCTTTTGATAGCTTTGAAAATTGATTGTTGATTCACGAAGTTGAGCGATTTTGAAAGTGGGTTTGTATCTTGTTCTTTTAAAATGATCTTATGGGTTTTGATCTTCGTTGATTGAAGAAAAGATGATTTTTGAAAGTTTTCTTTCAAAAGATGTGAGTTGTATAGTTTTGGTGAGAAAACCTAGAATTTGGAGATTTTTTTAAGAGACTGAAAATCCATGAATGATATTATTATATTTATTTTGTGTGTTAAAATAAATGGATGTTTGGAAAATTTCTTATTTATATTTATATAAATGATGAATTTAAGGGAATATGAGAATTATTGTTCATTTTGAAAATTATTGTTCAAAACGTTGAAATAGTCCTGAAATGACTAATTATTGAGGATACTTGAAAAGAGGGAATTGGGTTGTTCCTTGGATGATGAATTGGAATAAAAGTATTTATATTCATCTTGTGTTATTGGCATATTAATTCATTGATTACATTAAACTTTGAAAGTTGATTTGAAAACTTGCATTGAGAAAAGAATGTTGAGAAACAAGTTTTCATGGAATGGTTTTGGGGTAAATACGTTGGTAAGTCTTGATATGTGGTGTAGATGATATTGAATAAGTTGGCCTGAGAGTCCAGGGTGAAAGACCAAAAACCCGCACGGATAGGTGTTGAGCCTTCCGGTTAATACCGGTAAAAATGATAAATTGGTAGTAGTTGTATAGTCTACTTGTAGACGCCGACCTAGGGATTACCAGAGTTGTATTTACCGCTCTTGAAATGAATTGTTGAATTAAAATTGCATGACATTATTGAGCATGATGGTTTTCAAAGATGAAGATGTGATTTTCTTTCAAAAGGGCATAGCATGGCATGTACATTTCATCTCTTGAGACTTGTATAAAATGTATATACTTTGTTAAGGATTTTCTACTGGGCTTTATGCTCACCTTACGGGATTTTTATGCAGGAAAAGATGTGGTGATGCTGCCTAAGTAAAGGCGAGGAAATGTGTGTTGAGAGTACGAGACTCTTATTTTGCTGTGACTTTGTGTGCAAGCCAATGGCTATATGTGTGTGGGTTTGAATAACCGTTTTGTGTAAACAGACTCAAGGCTTGGAAACTTGTAAACCCTTGAGAGTATTTATTTGTTTATTTACTTGTTGTTGGATTAATGTATTGTTGCATGAAGAACTATTGTATCATGTAATATAAGCTTGGAGATTTATATTCGGTTTTCCTTGAAAGAGTCATGATTGTTGTATTATCATTTGGGCTAGAAGTTTGGGGCGTTACAACTTGGTATCAGAGTTACCGGGTTTGAATACTTGGAGCTCGTGGGAAGTGATTGTTTAACCACAATGGGTTCATTTAGCATTCTTAGGAAGTGTTATGCATTTTGTGACTATGTGATAACATGCTTATGTGACTAAATGGGTATGAGACTGGACTTTTGGGATGTTGTTTGCGTTTGTTAAATTCCTTGAGGTCTCATTAGAAGGGTACTTGATCAATACTCGTTCTACTAAGAACTCTTGGTTTTTCGTGGGATGTATTTTATTGTAAAAGAATAGTCCGTATGTGTTCACATGACTAAGTGCTTATGTGGAGTGAAATTGAATTGTGTATAAGGTAGAGAAGTATATGGAATTGTTGTAGTCGAATGTGTGAGTCAAGTTACGAGCACATATGAGTTAATGTGCTAAATTATTTCTCTTGTGTCCTTTATTAGGATGTTAGGAAGGGGTCAAGTCCGTGGTGGTAGAGGCGGGAGGCGTGGTAGGGCTCGCTGAGGTGTGCATGAAGTACCGGTCCATAGGGTTCTGGTGCAAGAAGAAGGGTTTGGCCAAGCTAATATGGCTGAGCAAGCAGGCCAAGCTAATGTGGCTGAGCAGGTGGGATAAGCGGGCCAAATCGCAATGGGGGCCCTAGCTCGAGAAATGACAGGGGCTATAAGAGAGTCTATGAACTTGTTGAGGGTGGAGAATCAAGCCCGAGAGAACACCGCAGAGTCAAGGGCGAGTTTCTGTTAGACTTATTTATTTTGATGATATGTTTAATTTTGTTTTAATTTATTTGGACGAGAAAAATAGAATCAAAATTTATTTTGATGATTTATTTGAAAGAGAAAAATAGAATCAACATTTATTTTGATGATTTATTTAATTATGTTTTAATTTATTTAAAAGATAAAAATAGAATCAAAATTTATTTTGTTCCATTATTTCTCACCTAAACCTTTATCCTAAATGTTGTTAGAATGTATTTAATATTTGATTAAATCAGGAGTTCAAATAGCCCAAAACAGAGGTTCAAACAGCCCAAAAACAGATGTTCAAACAGCCTAGCACAACAGCAGTTCAAAAGGTTCAAGTGAAAGATATTCAAATTTGTAATGATGGAGTGAAAGATATTCAAATTAGTAATGATGGAGTGGAAGATATTCAAATGAATACAACGGTTATAAACAGCTATAAATTCAAATGAATACAACGGCTATAAATGGCTATAAATTCAAATGAATACAATGGCTATAAACGGTTATAAGTTTCATTATATATACCAAAGCCTCTAATGTAAACAAGTTACAAAAAAAAACCAGAAAATATTCTTTGATCTATAATCACTCACATCTATTCTCTGAAAAATTTTATGAGAAGTGTTTTTCAATTTTTGTTTACATTCTCTCTCAGAAATTATACACTGAGCCTTATAGCCTTAAGCTCATATTTCTTGTGTGAGATTTACAGAAAAATCAAAATTTCATTTTATATATCTATCTTTGAGAGATAATTCTTGTAGCTTTCTGTGAAAGCAAAAACACATTCTTTTCATTCTTGTAAGAGTGTAGTACACTCAGTGTTCTTGACTTAGAAAGTCTGTGTAAAATCCGTGGAGGATTGCTCTATTTGCAAAGAGGTTGCTAGCACCCCCGTGAAGCTAGAGCATAGTAGAAAATCTCAAGTGAAGCTTGAGGAGTGGACGAAGGCTGAGTTGAAGCCGAACCACTATAAATTTGTTTGTCTCTCTCTCCCTTATCTCTTTATTTTATTTAAATTGCTGTAACTATATTTCACATTTTCACTATGCTAAAATCATTAACTGATATAGTTGTTAGAACACTTGTTTTAATTATTTCTATTTCATTAACTATATTTATCTTATAGCGATCCCGGTTTTACCCCGACCTTTATTGTGTTC